TAACTTGAGGAGGAGTCCACATTAAACATAGCAAACTGGTCTTGAATAGCGGTGTCAAAGTATGCTAGAGTGGAGTTTTCCATTAAGTAAAAATGAGTTGTGGCTTCAAACAAAACTCAAAAAGTACAAGCACTCGGCCAAACAATTGGTCAGTTACAGATGTTACAGAAATGTATTTCTTCGACGTTTGCTTAATGTCCCAGCATGTTCCGACTCTTTGCAGTGACTTTGGATACTACCGTCAAGAGAACAGCTCTGAGTGTGTGGAGCAGCCGGACCTGAAAGGCAAAGTGCTGGAGTTCTGCCTGCAAGGCAGAGAGGAGCAACTGCAGACTACTGGGTAAGGGCCTAACAAGGTTTATCACTTAACATCAACAAATGAATGAATAGAATAATAAACCAGTAAACATGCAATGTCTTTTTGACAAGATGTAGGAGGTAGCAGTGAATGTGTTGACCCACTCCTTTGGTGATGTTTATTAAAAGCCAAGGCACTTCATCCCTGCCTCATTTTGTGGCAGAAAGAGTGGCCGGATTGCCTTCATTGTTTGTCAGAGGACACAAGTGATGCAAAAGAGGAAGCACTTACCATGCAGAGATCAGCCAGAGGAAGCAGATGAGAGTGACTTTCATGTTTTCAATGAGGAAGAAGTGAATGCTGACCAAAAAATGCAAAGGACATTTTTGGTGAATCATGTTTGCCTCACTGCACACATACTGACCTAACAGAACATCATTGTCACATAGAACATGAAAAGCCAGTTAAATTATTATGTGCAGTGTTGTACAAACACAGACGTAACTGCGCCAAAACAAGTATACAGTTTACTTTCAAAAGAAACTTTGATTTTGATATTTGCTATTAAATGGTACTTTTTTTTTTTTTACCGTTTTGCCTGTTAAACCGAAATGTATCTGAAGGCAACACCATGTGCTACTAACGATCATACACTCTTGATTGAGTGATCACGACTTCTCCATTGTGTCTTTGCTCTACAGCTACAGGAAAATCCCTGGTGATAAATGTGAAGGAGGAGAAATGCCGGAGCGTAAAGAGATCGACCTCAGTAAGAGGTGTGTGAGCGACCTTGTGGACCCAGAACTTCTGGTTAGTGCCTCTGCCTACTAAGATTTGGGAAAATGTTACAAATGTGGATTTATTCTTGCTGTGGATGCCTACAGAATATCTGTTCCTGTACTGACATTTCTTCCTACTTTTTTGCTGTTATTTTTTACAGGTAGACAGTCACCCCTCAAAGTCTGTAGCTATCGTGATAACGGTCATCCTCGTCATGCTGCTGAGCATCGCAGCAGGAGTTATCTTCGTCAAGAAATATGTCTGTGGTGGCAGGTTAGTGTATCTTTTCACACACATGTATGGCCTGGTTCAGAACCAAAACCTATACAGGAGAACATGTCCAGGATAGAAAACTGAGGTGACACTTTTCTTTCACTGTTTGTTATTGTGTTTCATGTGGTCAGATGATTATAAGTGAACTGACAGTATTTTGAATGCGCCCTACAGGTTCTTGGTTCACAGGTACTCCGTGTTGCAGCAGCATGTTGAGGACAATACTGTTGAGGAGCAGGACGACCCTCTGGACACCAACCACATTCAAAATGGAAAGATAGAGTTTCATGACGACTCAGATGAGGTACAGTGGATACCTTTTCCTTCCTCATACACAGGCTGAAATAGAAACATGGGTACCAGGCAGGCCCCCTACCTGCTGTGACAGCTTAACTTGTCTTAGATAAGTAGTGATGGTGTTTACTTGAATAGAACAACATTATCTAGCCCACAATAATGATTAGATATTAGCTGATATTCATTTTTAATAAACACATGCCATAGAAAACACTGATCTCTTAAATGTGACTTGCAGTTGAAAAACAAACCTTTCAGTACCTTCTGGTGGACAAACTATGTAATGACACAGTCTCTGAAGTACCACAAACAAACTGTCTCCATTTCTGTACTGGAATTTCCCCATCCCGGGCAATGTATCGGTATCAAGGCTCTTTGGAGGGGACAGTCATGCTTTGCAGCATTGTCAAAAGTGAAACAATGTTTAAATTCAACATTAACCGGTCCTATTTAAAAGTAAGTCAGGCATTGAAGCATTTTTTTATTAACAGCATGATTATACGCTGTTGTTTCAAAGTAATGACAATAACCTAAATTCACCTATAACTAGGTCACTTGAGTGACAAGTTAGTGTGTGTGTGTGTGTGTGTGTGTGTGTGTGTGTGTGTGTGTGTGTAAAAACATAACCAAAATGCTTTATTGCTCACTCACCTGTTAGTTCTGTCTTCATTGGTTATTTTCTTGTCTCTACACAGGACCTGCTTGAATAGCAGGTACAACCTGTCGTACAAGTGAGCAACAGGTTCCAGTCTACCCCGTGGCTGGCCGCTGTTCCTGTTACTCTTTGTCTCCAACTACTTCTTCCTTTCACCTTCTTGTATGACCATTGACCTCGGCTACCAGACGAAGTGTCTGTGCCACTCTACTGTCATCTATAATGAATGTACAGAGGCCTCCTGGGACTAATTTCACAGTTGGGGAAAACTATGAAGGAAGTCCTGTAGTGTTGCGCTTCAGTTATTAATTCTATTGATTGAGTTTGAATCTCTGAGTAATTTATTTTAGGGGAAGAAGAACTGATGCAGTTATTTGAATTGCTGACAGAGCCAGAGTAGTGGGTTTTGAAACAGCACCATTGCATTACGGGTCCTGCCTCTCCCATCACCTGGGAGTGCTCTTGGAAATCTTTCTCACTTCTGTTGAAAATCTGTATCCTTTTTCTAATGCACTTGCACATAAATCAGTTTGTTTTTTTGCCATTTCTGATGTGGTATCATCATATTTGGTAGGTGTATGGAAAAAAGGTTCCTGTTGGTAGCTGGTTAATAACTCTCCCAAACTACTTGAGTCTTAATCCCTTCTTTTAATAAAGTATTTGTTGGTCAAAAAAGTGTGCCCCAGACGACCAAGAGTATGTAAATGTTTTTAGCCTTCTCCTCTCTGGGCACTGATTTGTAAAATCTCCTGTTGTAGTCTGTATTTGGAATACAATACTTTTTGTACTCCATTGGCATTGATCTCCATGGTTGAAGTAATGAAACGCAAGTGGAAATTCCTATTTGCATTAGGTTTGATAGCAATAACATGTTTAAGTATATTGTCCATGCACGTTAAATAATCCTATTGGCACAATATCTCTAATGTCAGTTGCTTTGTTTGATGAATGGAGATGTCATCGTGTAAAACACATTACGCATCAATGTATAGGGTGTTTATAGTGTGTCTGTTTAAGGATTTGTTAAAACATTTATGTCTGCGGTCTAATTGCCTAAAGCACAAGGTCCTTTGTATGCTAGGAGTTTGTAGTTTAACATTTTCCTACATGTGACCTAATGATTAATATAAGACTGTAATAATCACTATAGTCACATACAAGGCGTGTTTATAATCATTTGAGCGGGGTTTTGTACTAACGAACTTTTGAACTTATAAAACAAATGACAAATTGCGGTTTGGAGATGTTCAGAAATCACAGAAATAAATATAGTTTGATAGTAAATATCTACACACATTTTTTACATCAGATTCAGATAACTGAGCGTATCAATATAATTTGGCAACAGCACAGGGGCAATGTGAATAACAATTCAAGTATGTAAATGTTGTATAGCATAATTAACACTGTTGCCTAGAGGTAACAGACATGGTTGTACAAGTTGCTTTTTTTTAAAGTTGGTTTTTACATCTGAGATGGATCAAATTCTCTAAAATAATTGGGATATTGAAAGATTCTCATCGGTGTGTTGTACAGTGAACTGCTGTATTTTATTTTTTTTAAATAATCCTGCTACTACTGACATTTTGAATCTAAGCTGGATTGGCCACTGACTCTCAACAGATCTATCTCAAGTCTTACAGGGTTGTTTTTTCCCCCCCTCCTTCTTTTAAACATTTGTTGCACAATTTGTCTGTCTTGTGTTAAATACATTACTTCCATATAGTTTTTTATTTATTTGTGACTAGCATGTTCAGAGCGCAGTAAATTGGATGTGGTTATACAAGTGCCTGGTGTGAGAATAAGATGCGAGGCCCTCCCAAAGTGTGGCCAGCATGTATTTACTGATAATTATTTATATCAACTGTGTAACCAGTTTCATCCAATATGTAAGTGACACCCCTAAGTTGCACTTGTTGCCTAAGATGAATCCTTGAACAGTGAAGGAGTTGTTTAATTTTCAAAAATATTTTAATCTATAGACCTTCGTAAAGAAAATAGCCTTCAGTAAGCTGGTTATTCTCTCGTTCATGTCTTGGCAGGAGACTATATTGTGGCTGAGATAATTTGAAAAGAGAGGCAACTCGAATAAAAAACAGGTGGAGTGGATACAGGGTAATTAGGTAGCTGCTTTACACTGGGAGACACTTAGGAAGATCTTATTTAATTACGGTTTATTGCATTAAGTGGAGTAACACTTTTCTTACAGTTTAAAAACTGCTGTATAAATGTCATTGTGATGGTTATGTAAATATTCGAGGTTACATCTGTATTTGCAGTTTCTCTCTCCTGTATATTTGAGGCAATTTTATTCTGGTTTGCCAATAAATTCCTATGTTCCTCTTATTTTTGTCAGCTGATTCTTATTTAGTTAATAACCATGCAACTATGATTCTACAAAATGGAGCCCTGAGCAAAAACAAAACCACAATTGCAAAATGGCTCACTGTGGCTGACAGACATAGTGGTTTCTGTCACCCTGTCATCTCACATTTTCACACAGTTTACACAGGCATCAGTTACCCAAACACATTCTGGCTGTAGGATGGCTGCTGCAATCAGGTTACGTTATTCTTTGAGTACAACTTCAGTTTCATCCGTGTCACACAAGCTGCATTTATTTCAGGTTTTACCTATTTTGATATGTATTCCTGCATATTTATATATAAAGATATGGTAATAAATACAGATCAAGAATACATGTGTATTTAACTTTATTAAACTAAACGGCCTGTTTAGCCTGTACAGTAATAACCTGTTACTAAGTGTTCTAATAACCAACCTGAACATCATACATGGTTAGCCAACACTTGGTCAGGATGTCCTCAGATTCTATACAAAAAATTGCCTTCTGCATCAAAGAAGTCATTCCCAACTTGTGCCACAGGGGAAGGCTTTTCCATTTCCATAAACTCTTGAAGATCTTCTTCTGTCAACACGAGCCCATCCCAGCTCTCGTCATCCTCTTCGTCCTCCTCTGTAGGATTTGTGTTTCTGTTCTCTTCTGTTCCTCTTGTCACCGGGGCATCTTTACTAATACCAGCTCTGAACTGGGTGGGCAGAACAGTAACAGGGGCTGGACTATTAGCCATCAATCCTGAGCTTTCAACTCCAAGAATCAAAGGCTGCTCAGCCACAGGCACCACTGCACCTTCTCTTCTTCCAGATGGGAGTACAGCTGGTGTGTGGTTTCCAATCAGCTTCAGCCTGTCCTGCCCTGTCCCAGCACCTAAAGGCAGCACCTGCTGACTGAGTCCAGACACCACTTTAGAATTCTGCTTGGCTCTTCTTTCAGGAGTGGGGACAAACTTGCTCCTGAGGACCCTCTGGATGACATCCGGGGTGACCGAGAAGCCCTCAGCCAGCCGGTCTACTGTCCACTCATCTGGTTGCTCTTGCTTCAGATATCTGAACATTAAGCAACATTTCATTTTAAGCTTCATATGCAATTACCTTAAAGACAGAAAATATATTTCTTGGGTAAGTGATTGGACTGAGATTGCAAAACATCTCACCTGATCTGCTCAATAGCATCCCAGGTTAGCTTCCTCTGTGGAGCTCCTGATGGGGTCATCCGCCTTCTCAGTATATGATACTTCACAGTCTTCTGCCTCTTTCTCCCCTCACTGAAAAACATTAGAGAGGTGACTTAACTATCCATAGATTGTAAAGACAGCATACACAAAGCACTGTACTTTTTTTGTTTTACACAAGAATAAAATGATTACTCCTGCTGACACTTACTCATCCAAGGCCTGGAGCTTGTCTTCTACATCGTCCAGTCCAAGTTCTTCATCAGACATCTCATCACTGTATCTTGAAGCGCTGTTTGAGACTCTGTGCCCATGGCTCTGTCCCACCCATGCCTTGCTGGCACCCCTGCTTGCAAATCGACAGCCGTTAGTAGAAACTGGGGGCAATACTGACAGAGCACCAAGCCTGGAGAGGAGGGACAGGACCTGGAGAGGTCGGGCCATGCTCACAGCGTGTCCTCTCTTTGTGAGACAATATTATTAGCTTGTTTTGCCGAAAAAGGAAGTTCACACATTCATATTAACATACTTCTAGTGCCAAACTTTCCGCTATTTTAAAACAGATAAGCCACCTTCACCAGCCATGCTACACCCCCGTGAAACTCGTACTTCCGCAAACATGACTCTCACAACATAAAGAGGGTGCGGTACTGCCAACTACCGGAATGGAGGTGCTGTTTTTAAGTGGACCTGAACTGAACAAAGAGGTTCGCTTGAAACACAAAGCACAATAAATATCATCCATCGCGTGATTCAGTGGCTTCTTGTGTCATTTCAATTCTGAATAATGCGATAAATAAACCCATAGAAGACATTACATACCCAATGGGAACAGAAAATATAACTCAATGTCGACATCTGCCGGGCGCCACAGGCTCTGCACCCTGCGCTGTCCCCGTACTCATGTGTCACGCAGCTGCGCACCTCCTCCCAGGCGCCGTTGTTTCATTTGCGCCATTTTGTCCGCACACTTTGTTGATTGGGCTTTAGCGAGCTGTACCAGAGCCAATCAGAGGGAAACCGGACAGCGAAGATACGGTAAGGGAGACCCGATTGAAGGCATTGGTAGTTGTCAGCACGGATTGGTTTGCTATCGACCAACCAAATTACTAACCATGCTAAATGCGAAAAAAATCGAATGGCAGTTTCATTTCGACCGCCGTGTCCCGGGCTGTTCAGTCTGCAAATACCTTCTTGTTCTCGGTGTTGGCTACTGTGAGGAAACATGATCTCTGGTGGTCGACAAGCCTTGGCTAACGTTAGCTGGTTAGCTTAAATATCGAATCTCAAACAAAGGAATAGTTAAAAATGCTAACGTCTGCCCATCATAATACACGTCCTAACACCAGTAAATTATTTTCCTTTCTAATAAACAACACACGTGGCGTTAGGTATTTGCCTGTTTGTGTTAACCAGCCTGCGTGCTGTGCTTTCTGCCTTTTACCTCGCTTTTTAGCTAACTGTTAGCTAACTGACGCTAGCCCGGTTAGCGCTCACGAAAACATCCTGTTAACAAAACACCATAAGCCGGCGTCTGACCAAACTGTATCACCCAGTGTGGGTTCGTATAACCTCTAAAATTCAGACATAACATCTGACACAAATTTGCGTCATGAGTTGAAATGAAAAGGGCCGCTAATGTGTCCGTATTTAATGTCCAACGTTAACAATGAGTTGGCAATAGTAACGTTAGCTAGATAACGGTTGGAAAGACAAACAACCTATTCATTGTTATATCTGGGTACTCAAGGAGGTTGTGGGCCTCATCTAAAATACACTACAGTTATGGATCTATAATTACGTCAGCTAATACTGCCTTTGTTTTGACTGAAGAGAGGATTGTGACAGTGACAAGCTATGGAGCAGTACACCACTGCCACCACTACCACTGGGGAGCAGATAGTTGTGCAGACCTCCAACGGACAGATCCAACAACAGGTGAGAACATACTCCTATAAATTTGGTTTTGATAATGAAAAGTTTGCCACACCACGGACAATTAAACCTTCTGCTGCAAGATCACAGGTACCCAGAATGAAACCATTCCAGTGGATTCCAGATCCAATCTCTTTTCCTGATAATTACTTGTCTGAGACTGTGTTGTCCTGCCTTGCCTGCAGACACAGGGCACAGTGACGGCTGTGCAGCTGCAAACAGATGCGCCAGTGGTGACGGCCTCAGGCCAGCAGGTGCAGACACTCCAGGTAGTGGTGTCATCGCCGCCCTGTGTCAGTGTCATGACAGAGTTACAGGCCACGAGTTTGCATGCTACAACCAGGGCTGTTTTTCATGACCCATCTCTGTGCTGTTTGGTTGATTCCCCCGCCCTCCCCCCACAGCATGTCTTACAGCTGCCTGAACTGCATGATCCTCAGCACAATGTGTTTTGTGTCAACCCCGGGTTCCCGCTTGCGCTCAAAAGACTACCGTTTGACTGAGTTGGGTTTGTCTCTTGCTTTTAAAAGCAAGTTTTGCAAGTCAGATGTTGTTCTTCCTGATGAGGATGAAAGCCATTTGAAATATGAGTCACATGGTTGTGTTTTGCAGTTAGCAGAATAACCTACATTGAACGGCATGGATCCAGACAGATCAAGTCATTATTGGCTGTCACTTCTCATCATCTAGATATATTTTATTGTCTTGATTTAAAATGGCAGTGGGTTTCTTCCCTCTGGCATTTTTTCACTATAGTATAACTGCTGCTACATGCCTGCAGTTGCCAATGGTGGTCACTCATATGGACGCAAGTTAGACCATCTGTACTTGTCAAGTTGCATATTTGTGAATTCAAATGTATGTGATGGCAGCATCATGTCTAATCAAGTTGAACTGAGCTTCATGTAACCTCTTGGTTCAGCAGCAGTATACCAATAAGTACAAAACCACTCAATACAGATGTTTGTATTTTGCAATTTTAGCCTAACTTCAAGACAAAAATAGTTGTGAAATATACCATAGGCTACATTTTAGATCCACTATGGAACTGAATGATTTCATGTTTGTACATCCCAAAACAAAAAGAATGACCGCAATTCACCAAAAACTTATTCATGATGTGGTATCAAGTGATATTGAGGTAACAAGCACTGGCAGTGCTGCTATAACCGGTTTCTGTATCACTGTAGGTCCAGGGACAACCTCTGATGGTCCAGGTGAGCGGTGGGCAGCTCATCACATCATCAGGGCAACCCATAATGGTGCAGGCCATGTCCGGGGGTCAGGGTCAGACCATAATGCAGGTCCCTGTATCTGGAGCCCAGGGACTACAACAGGTAAGGGATAAAGCTCAGTTTCTAGATTAAGATCTGTATTCAAATTGTGACACATTATCTTATACAAGGACGTAGTGTCCTCTGGAATCAAATTGGTAGACGTGAAGCGTGGGTGTAATGTTTTACTATGATAAGCTTTCATTTAATTATCAGTTCCTGTACATGTTGCTGTTGACAAACGGTTCTTGCTTGTGTATTTATGTAACAAATTGATTTGGCAGTGCAGGTGTAATTATTTTTTCTGAGGTTGTCTAATTTGTGTGCGAAAAAGTGTTTTGCTTACAGTGTAGATGTTTGAGGTCAGTGCAGTTATATGTCAATGAAAAATTCATGTCTGTGTAGATTCAGCTGGTGCAGCCAGGTCAGATCCAGCTGCAGGGCGGTCAGACTCTCCAGCTGCAGGGCCAGCAGGGTCAGCCCCAGCAGATCATCATCCAGCAGCCCCAGGCAGCCATCACCGCCGGACAGAACCAGGTGTTAAATTCTGACCAGATGAATTGCAAATCCATTTAATCAAATTATTATTAGTAGTGTGATTACTGAGTGTCTTCTCTCCTTACTTGCGGTTTCACAGGGGCAACAGATCAGCGTGCAGGGCCAACAGGTGGCACAGACAGCTGACGGACAGACCATTGTCTACCAGCCTGTCAATGCAGATGGCACCGTCCTGCAGCAGGGTAAACTCAGTTTTCTCCTGCCTTTTCTGTTTGCCTTCAGCTTTGTAGACTTTGTAAACAGGGTCGCTGTTGAGTTGTCATTTTGAATAAGAACTGTGATGATAATCTGTCTGCAGGAATGATCACGATTCCAGCTGCCAGCTTGGCAGGCGCCCAGATTGTACAGGCAGGGGGTGCCAACACCAACACTACTAACAGCGGCCAAGGCACTGTGACCGTCACCCTGCCTGTCTCCGGTAACATGGTCAATGCAGGTGGAATGGTCATGGTAAGACCCTGTGCAGAGGTATCCGACATCTTATTACCTTTAAAAAAAAACTAGACTCACAAAGGGTGCGTGGTGTAGTGGAGGTCACTTAGCTTTTAAGAGCAACAAAAGTAGTTATCATTTATCAATTTTAATAAAAATTTTAATCTATAGTTTTTGTGCAAATAATGATTCACTTTCTCTATCCATTGTAAAACTATAGAAATGTGTATATTGATTTTCTTTATGTGGAATCACATTGTGATGATGCAGTGAATATTACTATGTTTATTTAAAGACTCATGGTCAGACCACACAGGTGTTTTCACTTATTTTGTCTGAACAGACCTCTTCTTAGAACTAAATGGGCATTTACAGATTGTGTTTGATTGACATCTCTCTCGCCTCCTACATTGTTAGTGTAGGACACAACTAAAGCCTAGTTCACACTACACCATTTTTAGCCCAATTTGCCGCTTGGCAAACTCGACGACTGTCAGGCTGTGATTGGGGGTAAAATCAGCAGTCGATTGGCGGTGTGAACTACACAGCGACGCATCAAAACGGCTCCCCGACACATTTCTGACACATCGCCGATGTCTGCCAGATATCTAGCATGCCAGATATCTGGAGGAGTCGGCCGACTCGACGTCCACATCCAGCCAATGAGAGCAGGCAGCTGGCGGAGCACCGCAAAACACTTTTCACTCGCCTCCAGCTTTCTCTGGAGCTCAGACAATCCCTGCTACCTGCATGTGCTAATCCATTCTTTCACCCATATTCTATGTCTTAAATTGTCTATATGTCTATAATTGGTATCTTTATAATAACAAACAACAGCTATTTTGTGTGTAGGTTCGTGCCATTTCCCGTTTCATATTTCACATGTGTTTTCTTGACAAAACGTGGTTTGGAGCGTTGAGTGCACAGCCGCTGTCAGCTCGTGTATTGTGTGACACCCCGTCACCGATCAGTCACATAGTGTGAACGCCACAACGACTTCAAGACTCCAGTCACAAGACCGAAAGTTGTGTAGTGTGAATGGCACGGCCATCGGCCGACACTGAAAGTCGTGTAGTCTGCATGAGGCATAACACGTTTATGATTCTTATTTGTTCAGAATATTTGGTGACCTCATGCAGTTCCCAGCATAACTTCACACCATATTGGCCTGTGGAAACATATATTTACAATGACTGAAAACATCTGTGTGCAGGGACTCTAACATAAACACATTAAATGCCAAAGCTGTATTGTGATATAGTACTGTTTGTCAGTTAGGTGTGGGAATCTCTTGGCAACTCACAACTCGATTTGTGATTCATAGTGCTGCGATGCGATTTATAAAATGATCATTGATGACTAGTTTACATCCCTAATTTGCTTTACTAACCTCAGCTCCTCCATGGTCAGTATTGTCCTTTCTTTTCCTAACCAACCAGTTTTTAGAGTCATCTGAAAACTGAAATCTAATTTAACTATCAAGATGTACAGTATGTGTACAGGACAGAGCTGGACACCAGTTTAGTCTAAGTTTGTACCTGCCGTTCTCAACCATGGACAAGTAGATAGTAATGACATGAAGCTAATTAATTTCACATTCTATAAATTTAGCTAACGTTACAGAGCAGCCAAAAAATGCACTGTACAGGGGAGATGTTTGCTGGCACACATTTTAAAGCTTTTCAAGCTTTCACTGTCACTTTCTGCTGCTCGCTCTCTCATTCGCTCACCCACACACTCGCTACGCACACACATCACACACTGCCCTGTCCCTAAAAACACCCAACTTATGCTGCTCTTATAACAGCACCTGTCACACAGATGTCCTTTTAAAAAATGAGGAGAGGAAGCTAGCCAAGCGTTGAGTGAAAGTCATTAGTTTCACATTGATTTTAATGATCATGTGAAATTTTAGTAGTGGTGGACATTCGTTCAGCAGCGGCAGTGTGCTAAATACAGGGGTCTGCACACCATAGACTGTCCAGGCGCTGCACTTCAGAGTTCCGCCTTTTGAGTTGTGTCCACATTACGTCATCAGTTTAACATTTAGAAAATTGATTTTGACATTTGTGAACCGATTCAGAATCGCATCATGATGCATCTAAGAATGGATTTTCCCCAACCTAATATATATATTGAATAAAGGCCTAAATATTGCTCTGATACTGCTTTAACTATTTGCACAACTGCTTGCTTGTGTCATAGTGCTGATACACATGTGTGCTTTCCATGCCAGACGTTCTAAGCACGGTGTCCCTCTTTTTGTGTCTCTCCCTTTATCAGATGGTGCCTGGAGGTGGTGGAGTTTCCACAATGCAGCGTATCCCTCTGCCAGGGGCTGAGATGCTCGAGGAGGAACCTCTGTATGTCAATGCCAAACAGTACCATCGCATCCTGAAGCGAAGGCAGGCCCGGGCCAAGCTTGAGGCTGAGGGCAAGATCCCCAAGGAAAGGAGGGTAAGACATCTCATACAAACATGCATGAGCACAATGATGTTCTCTTCCTTACTACCCTCTAAATGCAAGGGTTTTAAGCTCTTGTTCCTCTCTTCACCAGCTACCTGTTTATTTTGTCTTTCTACCATTTCATGCTGGGCTCATTCTGTAAATCATCTTGTGCTGTCACAGAATGGGGGTGTCAATTGTCAATGGGGTTGGCAGTGCAACTATTCCACATTACAAGCATTCATTTAATTTAAGGATGATATAAAAATAGCTCTGTAATGGTATCTTGCCATGTACTCTCAGAGAAGGATATCTTGAAACCTGTGTTAAAAAAAAAAAAATATCTCAAAGTACCTTCATGGCCAAGTAAGAATATGTGTTTTGGTTTTTGGGGTGGGTGGGTGAGGTGACCTTTCAACCAGTAATGGTACAGAAGTGGAATAATGTTAAACTGGCCATAATCCAATAAATCCACTTTCTTTCTGGCAGAAATACCTACACGAGTCTCGCCACCGTCACGCGATGCAGCGTAAGCGAGGAGATGGAGGACGTTTCTTTTCACCTAAGGACAAGGAGGAAATGGCTTTAGCTCTGGCACAGGTAAGAAGCTGTTTGTAGAAAAAAAACATCACCTACATCATCACTTAATGATAATGAGTATGTACTGAATCAAGCCCATAGATGTGTTATAAATTGTAAACTAAGCACTTAAACCTGCCTGACTTGCTTTGAAAGATTTTTAAAAATGTGTTAATTGAGTGGAACAAGATGTCACTTTGCTTGAAAGGGTGATATCTCATTATTAGAAACTGCTCAGATTTTATAATGGCGATCCTTTCCCCTCCTCTGGCTCAGCAGCAACAGGAAGCAGCCCAGGCAGCAGCAGATGAGACGGTGGCTCAGATGATCCGAGTCTCGTAGCGTTGTCGCTACCATCATTACTTCCATCTGTGAACTCTACCCTGCCTGAGACTCTTCATCCCAGCAAACCCATCTCCCACACCTTCTCCTCTCCCTTTTACTCCCTTTTGCCTCCGCCGTCATACACCAAACCACGGCACCACCACTGAGTTTCTTCTGTTATCTCTCCTACACTGGTCTTCCAGGGAGCTGGCCAGGTGGATGCCGAACCCCGTGGACTGTTCTGGCCTTGAAACAGAGTCCACCCTCATCTTATCTGGTTGAGCACCTAGGACCAGCTTTTTTATTTTCATAAGGATTTATTTGGACAATAATGAAACATGACTTTATGGGTAACCTGGGCTTAGTCACGCAGAGGAAACCAACGAGCTATAAAGCCATACTCTGTTAAACCCTTGTCTGTTATAAAGCTGAGTTTGTCATCAGTGGATACTTGTGTTATAAAGCTGAGTTTGTCATCAGTGGATACTTGTTGCTTTAAGTATTTTTTGTAGATGGTACAGAATTTTTTTTTCCCGAGACAATTATTAAGCGTTGATGCTACGCTGGTGTCCTATATCTTTTATGTGATGCCCTGTATTTTGAAATTGCATTTTTTCAACCCATGTGCTGTGGGGGATGGACTCAGCATCACAAGTCCAACCTGCATTCACAGGAAAAAAAACTGAAATGTGATACTAATGTGAAAATATTGTACAGAAATTCTTTTCTTCCCCAGTGTGTATCGGATGTACTTACTAATTTGCCCAGTTCTGTGGATGCATTTTATACAATTTTGTGGTTAGACAAAGTGTTAGTTGGAAAAAGTTCACGTTATACATTCTGTACATGTAGTTACTTCTTCATTGGTCAGTCCACCAAATTTTTTTTTCATTGTAGATAATAGTTTTTTTTACCCATCAGATGCAGTTCTTGTAATGTTATTTTTTTTTATAAAGAAACAGACTGGACATTGAATTCATGAAACCTATGTCAATTAAATTTTATTAAGTGACTCAGGGTAATTTGTGCTTACTTCACTCCCAGTTTTTGTTCACTTCCACTCTCATCTTTGCATCATATTTTATAAACTGATCACAGTTTGATATGTAGAATTTAAAAAAAGTACAATATTTACCCTTGAAAGATAGAAAGTATCATAAATGAAAATTTAAGTCCAGCACAGTACTGGAGTATCTGTTACCTTCCAGTACTGATCGTGTTGCAGTTTGACATTATTACTTTATCCAAATCAGTAATTTTTATGAGTATTTATAGTAGTTATATAAGTGTTACACATGTTTGTGTCTAATGGAACAGGGTTTATTCAATTGATTTCCGATATGGGGCGATCATATGGGGGCGATAAAGGCTATATTACCCTGAGCTAGACTTCCCAGGTTAAACACTGTCCCAAGCAAGCTCCGCCAATCACAAGCTGTAGATTACAGACGTTGATACACGGCCAGCCAATCAGAGCAAAGGAGGCGGGACTTTTCTCAGCCACCTAGGAGGTTTAACCCTGTTCAGACACGTAGACTATTGAAATAGAGCATCTAAGTCACGCTTGCACCGACTGACAAGTAGTAACGAGTAAATCTAATGTAATCAACTTAATCTAACGCCTCTCTTGATACGAGTAACGAACCCCATCCGTTGCTCCCCCGTATTCCTCCGCACCGGCGCTGAGCGGACGCTCACCGCCTCCATACTGCCCACTGGCTCAGGTGACCGGCTCGTCAAACCGCCCCCTCCCCTTCGGAGATGTTGCTATCTGTGGATGACAGCAGAGCCGGAGGATCGAAACAAGTGTTAGTGCCGCTCTTTCAGAAAGTAGTGAAGCTCGAAATAAGCTCAATCTTGTCTTGAATTAGGCTTTTTACTGCTACGCGCCGAGGTCTAGTTAAGGTGCTTCAGCGTCGATTCGGTCTTATTATTAAGCGACGAAGCTTAAGGAAGAGAGCAAGAAGACGACGTTACTGAGCTCAATTCAGGACCGGCTTTTTTTCTCCCCCCCTCTCTCTCTTTCTCTCTAGTAACAGTATCAATTTCACCTGGATGCAATGACCGACTCGGTAGTGGACAGCAAGGCGGAGGTCAAACAAGCCACGAAATATGTCAAAGAGACCGAAAACGTTGCGGAAAAATATTCAGCGATGACTGTCAGCAAAAACAGCAGTGATGTGAACATGAACGTTGGCGAAATGCCTTCCGCAGCGTTCACCGCAGTCCCCACTCTGAAATCCGTCAAGAAGGTAAGAAACGTGATACTCGCTATCATCAGTCACTGACAAAGGGCCAAGAGACAGTGAGAGTGTGGGCAGGCACCTGCGAGGGGGACAAATCCACGTTGGTACGCACTGTACTGCAGTGAAGTAGTACTCTTACTGCAAGGCCAGGCAGTGTGTACTGTGTGTTTGACAATGCAGATGGTGCCTGCCTTATGAATACATGATATATATGTTAATAAGACACCATCTGCAATATAAACCCAAAGTTGACAGTAGAGAGGTTACCGAAGCTTTGATGCAGGGATGGATGTGATGCTGCAGTGTCACACGCAGCAGTTACTGAGAGATCACTCTGTCCCAAGCCAAGCTGCAAAGTGAAAAAAAAAATACTATTTAAAATGGATTCAACTAAAGAATTTGAGAAGTTAGGCCACAACGACAAGCTTTGCTTCACTGTTTCATGTGTGGCATTTGTGTAATCATATCTTTCACTATGCTATTACTGAGGTAACAACATATAATTTTAATCGGGCTTTCACCAAGACTGGATTATTGTTAAATTCTGCCTTCAGGAAACCTTCCTGTTGAGGCTGTTTACATCACAATGTCTACATCACGCCAACATTCTGCAGGCAGGAAACAACTGAAAAGCCAAGTTGAGCTCTTAAACCTCTGACAGGACCTCTGGAAAGTGAAGAAATACATGGCTTAAGATACCTGAGCAAAGACAGGGGCCCCGCACGCTACGCTTTGCTTTAGAAAGAATCATTCAATCTGCCACGAATTGTAGTAACACAGCTTTGATAGCTTTGAAGGCGCAGGTTTGTGGGGAATAATTACTCATATCTATACCAAGTGAACTCATCCTTGTGTTCGTGATATCAGTCTTGAATTTGTTCAGGAGTGAGTGTGTGGGCAGCATCATTGTTAGTAAGAAGAACAGCATGATAAGAAATGTATTAGCTGCACAAGGTGCACGTGAGGAAAGGCCTTGAATTTTCTTGGCTGTGACACAACGGGACAGAACAATCATCAGAATGGAGGGGGAAAAAAAAGAAAAACAGTGACTCCCTTGAGGTGGCTGCAAATATCATTACAGATCCACCGCCGTTTGTGTAACAGCTGGCAACTGGCAGTGGACTGAAGGCGTCTTTTCTCAGAACTGACCTGCTCAAAAAAAAACACCCTCCTTAACACAATTATACTGGTTTTGTGAAACATGTTTTGCCAAGACTGTCACAGGGGTGATGATGACATTTTCTGGTACTTTCAACCATTTTTCTATCCCTCAAGGTGACCTCTGTGACCACTGCCCTTCTTACTGGTGAACATGATTTTAAGAGCTACAGCCTGGTCCAGCAGAGTGTGTCGATATAATGGCCTGATATATATAAAAAACAAAAACATATACTGATATACTGGCATGTCTGTCAGCAGATGTCCTGATATTTTTATTAAAAAAAAAAAAAAATTAATGTATTTTTCTTTATAAATATTTGTAATTATTTTAGTTCCACTGTTATGTTCACTATAACTGCACTGGTATGAGCCTCACAAATTCAGTAGCTCTACATGACACATTAAATAACTCTGCACTGCTTGTAACTGACAGCTGATAATCCAGCACCGTAAACTGAACTTCATGTAACTTTTAAATCTCACATGCAGGAGCCAAACCTCAGTGCTGTGTGTTCTATGTTGAGCAAGATTCCTTTGTTTCAATTTGGGATGTTTGTGGTATCTTTGTACCTCTGTATGCTCCCTGATGTTGGCTTAAAAACTATTAAAATGGTGATCATCACACCTCTCTTAAATACATTGCCAGTTAGTGTTGAAATTAACACGACTCATTTAATAATTGTTTGCATTTGCGTATAAATCATTAACAAGCATTGTGGCACAGGAAAACTGGCAGAGAAAAACAACTAATTAGAAGCAAATAACCATTGGTGACTAGTTAACTGAATATTTGCTATAAAATATAAGTTATGTGCAGATGATAGAAGAGGACAAAACAAGACATTTGAGGAGAGGGAATAGTTGTCAGATCAATCGACAATAAAAATAATCATTAGTTGCAGCCCTTGTGTTTATTCCAAATGACATGTCATGCATGTGGAGCTGCCTTTCTGATTTGATTGCACCAAAGCTGAAATCTTGTTTTTTCTTTTACACAAGTATGTCCACAAGAGGTGTACAAATATAATCAGAATAGTAAAAATAAGGGCTGTAAACTAACGGTTATTTTCATCGTCAATTATTTTCATCGTCAATTATTTTTTTGATTAATCGATTAGCTGTTTGGTTAACAAAAAGGTCACAATGATGTGAAAAATGTTGATCACAATTTCTCAAAGCCTAAGAGGACGTTCTCAAATGTTTTGTTTTGTCTACAACCCAAAGATATTCAGTTTACTGTCATAGAGGAGTTAAAGGACCAGAAAAATATTCACATTTAAGAAGCTGGAACCTCAGATTTTTTTAAATAATTGACAACTAATCAATTAATTGATTAATCATTGCCCCTCTAATAAAAATATCTATTTTCCCACCAGCGGGGCTCACAGACTTCAGAATATTAGCTCAGACCCCCTATCTAACAAGGCAGTAACTTGTGGCCTGTGAGTTGCCTCAGGGAGCCCGATTGAAAACATATTGGATGGTAGGAATGTGCACTCCACTTATGAAAACAAAGCAGTGTGTTATGAATAAATTTGAGAGCCATGTGTCAAACTGTGCCACCTGTTTTCATGGAACAAATGAATCAGTAAAACAAACACTGCAAATGATTGGAAGAAAAGATAAAAATAATTAAAATCCCAACATGAAAAAGCAGAGTGGGATGTCTGTTGAACAGAGGCCGGTGCATCGTCACATAAGCTACTGAGAGGTGCCATGAACAAAAGCAGTCAATGCTACAAATTAAAAATGAAATGTGTGTGTGTGGGTGAGTGAGTCAAAGAACAGCGCTACTCGGCCTCTTCTCTCTGAATCCATCCAGCAGTTACACAACACGCCCCCCCCCCCCCGGAACGGGACTCACTCGCTGTGAATGTGTTCATGCATCATCATTTCTATCTGATCCCTGTGGGCTGTTTTACATAGATTCTCAAAAGTCTTCATACCTTATTTTCACTATCTCATCTTGTCCGTCTGCCAACATGTAGCAGAGTTTCATGAAGGTCAAATACAGATTCTAGTGTTTATTGAATCTCAGTTTGCCGTAGTCCACACAAATACTGAGTTTGTACTGTAGTGTGAGCAACATGAACACTGAGGGAAAAGTCACCATAAGCTGAGAAATATAACACATCCATACCGACTAGTTTCATTATTTTCCAGCTGTTCTTAGCTATGCCGCTGGTATTTAAAGTATCTCTCTAGTTCACCTTGCTATCAGCATTTTGGCTTTCTTAAAATCTGCCTTCTCATGTTACAGTTTTGGGAACAAAATTACATTGATATTGTAGAGATGTTAGGGTTGCATTCACTTGAGTTTGTTTATGAAATATGATTGTGGTTTACCTTGAGATTCACTGAAGTCTGAGGTCCATGATCATAAGTAGACGTTATAGTTCCTGCTAAAGGTCACGTAGTTCTGGAGGAAGGATTAGCACAGTGAATGTTTCTTTCACAACACTAAGTAATCCGTCATGCATGTGTTGATCTAAACTGGCGTCTTTTGCAGACCAGAGCAAATGCAATGACTTTAGATCTACACCTGTCTGAGGAACTTGACTTCTTTAGCTTCAACATTGCTTTACTGTCCCTACATCATTTGTGCTAGATTTAATCTTACAAAAATACGCTCTGTCTGTGACTTGTTGAATGTGACCTCTGCAAGTAGTCAGTATCTAAAGATCTGTGTGGATTAGACTGCATGTCTTCTCCGTTAGATGGCGCTGTAGAGCACCAGTGGTGGCATCTTTGAACCCTTTACACCACCGGCTAACTGTCACACCACAGCTTAAGTCTGTGACCTGGCCTGCTGTCTAAAAGAGAAAGCGTATTTTTAGCTGTAGGATGGGACTGGATGGGCCGCTTATTGATGCAGCAGCAGGCTAATGGAAACAGGGTTTAATTCCTCCTGTCAATCCCCTTTTATTTAGTAGTCCAAATCAGCAGTACAGCCTGAAAGTGAAAGCTGCAGCAAATGTATTTTTTGATCTGTGTGTGTGTGTGTATGTGATTTCTTTTTGTACATATTTCTTGTTTGTGCATATTTACATATCTGAATCTTGCCATCTTTGCAACTTGCTCCTACATTTGCTCTCTTAGCACTTCAAAAAAATCACGCATAAAACACAATCTACTGACTTTAGCAGCTGGTTGTCAAGGGCACAACCAGAGAGCGAGAGAGAGAGAGAGAGAGGCTCAGTTGAAATCAACCTCCCCTTTCTCTCTAGGCCTCTCTCTCTCTCACTCTATCACGATAATAGGTGGGAACCTCCCCCCCCCCCGGCTCTGTCTGGGAGTGTTCTGGGATAATAGCATGAGGGACACCTAGTAGCATCACACAGAGGACACATAGGCACGGGGAAGTAGGCTGGAAGACTGGCAGGACCAGGCAGTGAGTGGCAGCCATGGCACACAAACATGGGCACGGGAGAGAAAGGGTGAGTCGCTACTAATGCATCACCGGGAATTCATCCAGCACACTTATTCCTAAAGATACTGCTTTATCCCACACACAGATGTGCCAGAGTTACTTTTGGGCATGTCGCAAGTTTTCTGTCTTGTTCTTTTGTCTTTCTTTTCTCCTTTTATTTTCACTTGCAACATATATGTACAGCTGAAATGCACGGTAGAAGTACCATATTCTCCTGAAGGTATTCACAGCTCAACTCACAACTCTGGGATAGCTTATTGTATTAGAGTAGCAGAAACAGAATGTGGTCTTAACACTGAGTAATTCATCATTAACAGTTTTTCCTTAACGCTGTAACCACAAGATAAGGAGTCTCTGATTCTGACATCTATATAGTGGGGGAAGAACAATGCAGAAATGCAAGAGAACTGTCCAAAACCCTCTGAATCCTCAAGAGTCCAAACTGATGCAAAACAAACATAAAAGAACTATTTTGCAAGTGTATGAGATGGAGCACCCTCTCAATTGTGAAAACAGAGACATGCAGAGATCTCATCAGTTCACACACTGCCTCACAAGCTTCTTGGGTTTCTTGATATTGACACAGTAGATTGTTGAAGCCCAGAAAGAGGGATCGTGAGATATAAACACTTAGTGAATAGAGTTTCCAGTGTTTTTTGCCATTTCTGCCACAGTTGTTTTAATTTTAGATGAATGGAAGCCATTGCGGTAAGTGAAAATGTGCCCATTTAGTCTCATATAAGGCAGACGCAGTACAGCTGTGTTGTGTGTAAATGATGTTGGCTTTATGAAAGCCATTCAATCAGCCTTGGCTTCCACTAATGTGTGCATGGTGACTAACAGGTAACTGAGTCATGCATGCCAGTTTCACCCACCTATGAGCTTACACCGTTGTGTCATTACTCTTCAATGTCATAACCATTATTGCCATAAGCTTTACCTATAAGACACGGTTGTAGGCAGATGTCCGTATGTACAGTGCCACATCACACTCAAATGTCACCCAACTCGCTGTCTGACATTCATGTGTTCTAGGATTTATCATTTGTGTGTTGTGTCAACTCTGCTGGCCTGCATGTTAGTTTTTAGTCCAAACACATTCTATGGACATCTAAAATAAGAGAACAAGGAAACTCCTATGGCATTGTCACAATGAATGAAGACATTAGAAAGGATTTATCTCTGAGGCAAAGTGAGTGTTTAAGGGAGAGAAGAGGGAAATTTAAGGATAGCAAAGAGAGAAGATCCTTGCTGCTGAGAATTGACTATATCCTTGCATTCTAACACTACTATTAAAGAAAACATAGAGTATAAGTCAAATGATCAGGAATTAGACTCTGTCCAAAACGTCCAGTAAATATTATAAAAACTTACTCCAAAGCATTTTACATTTTACAGCCATGATACACAAAGAAGACAGACACAAAGAAAGGAACACAGGAAGAAATTAATGAAGAGAAATGTGTGTGAATGTGCATGTTAAAAGTCTTGATTGCTTGATATTATACACTGTTACACTATAGAGTGTTGTGAGGCAGACAAGAGAGACAACATCAAAGTTTGAGCTGGGATTTGAGCCAGCACGCTTGCCTCTAAGCCACCAAGACACCTGTAGGATTTCTTAGAAATACAGAGAGAGACTGTGCATAGCCTTTAGCAACGTTGCCTTTAGTAATGTTGAGGTAACATTGGTTTAAACACTTGTTTTGTGCAAAATAATGTTAATTCTTCACCCTTTTGCTAAACCCACAATAGTGAAGGTCAGGGTGATATCAAGAATGCAATTGCACCTAAATGTTTGCCAGATAGAATATTGAGTCTCACTAGGGCTGGGCAATAAAACAATAATTATCAGCGTATAATTTTCCTCAATAACAGTATAACAAATGTTCCATAAATGTTTGATTTAATTCATTTGAATCACGAACAAAATTAGCACTGTAGTTTTCTGGACTGAAACAAAGATTTTGTGTATTTTTACACATGCATATTTGTAATTGTAATTGTTTTGAATGTGTTTGTCATGTTCTGACCATAAAGAAGTTTAAAACCACAATTAACCATCTGGTTTCTTCAACTTTCTCTGAGGAGCACAAATCAGCCTTTAAACTTGAAGGAAGTAATGATTTGACATTTATCGTGATAATTATCGATATCGAATGATGATTTTTTTTAGCGTGATAACATTTTTGACCATATCGCCCAGCCCTAAGTCTCCCATAGGAACAAAAATTCATTGCCAAAGGGACTGAAACTAAACGACATCATGAGGTTCAGACCCAAAACCCACCTGCAGACTTCCTATTTAAATAAAATGCTGAGTAACTCATCTACTCCTTCTCACAGCCCCAGGTGTAAGCAAAATAGAAGCTACAGCCTACAGCCCACCTGGGCTTCTACGTAGGTGAAAATAAATTATTTCTGCAATTAGGTTGGGATTGTTTTGGACTATATTTGTATTGTTTGCTGGATTGACTCCTCACTGTCCTAAGTGACCCAGTTTCCTAAAGCACCTCAGGGTTAGGTCTCTCTACTGTTTCTAATGTTGTTAACTGAGTGTTGACTTCTCCTGGGGCAGCCAGACTGTTACAGTTTGATGGTGTTAAAATGACACTTAGTGGATTTGTCAGATCCTAAGTCTAATTGTAGCCTGCCAAGCCCTAAATAGAGCCAAATTCACACGAGGCACTGGCTTTTATTTAACAGCTGAACGATAGGATTTGGAAAAAATTGGATCAACCTCTGTGGTTTGATACAGTATAGTAGTAAGACTACACAGTTGAGACTTAAATATTCTGTTAAAGGCTAGTGTAGAAAGTAGCCAAGCTAGCTGTGTGCTGATCTGCTTTGTGTGTTTCCAGGTCTTTGATCTTGGGCCCTTTGAAGGGTTGGGTTGACACGATGTACCACACCAACAACTGAAGCCTGTGTATCTGAACAAAGCACAAATCACTGAGCATCTAAAAATAGGCATCAGATCCTTTCTTCCCAATCCACCTGTGATTTACTGTAACGTGCTCAGGCGATTTTCCTTCAAAAGGACAGTTGTAGTGGCTGAAACAGCAAAATGAGTCCAAATATAAACTAAAAGAGTGCAAACACATTACCTTAAGCATATAACAGAGTGGCATCACTGCTAATGTGTGATGATGGCAGTGCTTTTTGTCCCTCTATACCTTGCTTCCCTGATTTCATTGTTGACACTTAATCAGCGCATACAGACAGAAAAAGGTTTAATGTTTGTTTGCCTTTTACATTTACGACGTGTAAAACAGTGCACATGGTTCATCATCTGTTCTCTTTTTCTCATTCTGGTTCTCTTTAGATCCAGTTTGCTAACGCGGAGGACAAACAAGAATTCAGCAAGTACCCTACCAAGGCAGGCCGCCGTTCCCTTTCTCGGTCCATCTCGCAGTCCTCCACAGACAGCTACAGCTCAGGTACTGCACGCCTCAATGATTCTGTCCACTTTAATTAGATGTTAAAACCCCCGCTGTATTTTGACAGACTGATTGAGACTGAGTTATTATAAACTATTGCTGCTGAGATTGAACAGTGGAAGACATCTCCTCACAAATCTTCACAGTAATAGTTTGTTTTGTTCATTTGAAAAACTGACTGATGAGCTTTATGTATCTTTTTTTTAAAGTCCTAACTTGGAATGAAGTAGTTGCAGCACATATAAGCATACATATTTACATTAAAAACACATATGATAAATTGGCCAGTGTATCGGCCAACATTATCTTATAGCAGATACATCAGTATGTGATATCAGTGTCTATGGTTATCAATATCTAACAAGAAATTGCAGTACAGAAATGCCAAACTGGGTATAAGGTAATGTTGGTGTTTATTTTTCAATTGTAAAATGTCGTCCTTAGTATGTCACAATTCTCTCTCTAAAAAAAAAAAAAAGGAATCCATATAAAGATTATTGTTTACATTATGTGTTTAGATTAAGATAATTACAACAGCCGACATATGGTAATCAGATTTTTTAAACTTCCAAACATCATTATCAGGATCTGCTTTGAAAATCCATTATGGTCTGGCTGTACACAGAAGTACAATCCTGTTTGCAATACAGCATATACATATAACACTTACAAAGTATGTATACACACACAGACACAAGAAACACATACACAGGCTCCACCCTACACACGCTAGATTTTAAGTATATATTTCATAATTGGCTCTTTTGTTTGCCTTTCCACAAAACTGTCCTTTTGTGTTCTCCATTTCCCAGCTGCGTCCTACACTGACAGCTCCGATGATGAGACCTCCCCCCGGGACAAGGCCCAGGTCAACACCCATGGCAGCAGCGACTTCTGTGTGAAGAACATCAAGCAGGCTGAATTTGGCCGCCGTGAAATTGAAATCGCAGAACAAGGTATATTTTGACCTCACAGGCACACAGGCTGTTTTTTTCCCCCCAGCCCATTTCTAAATATAAAATAGGGAGTGATAAATTATAGATACTTTTTGCTCATTTAGCGAAGAACACTGTGGTGATGGTGCAATGGATAAGACACGTGCCTTTGGTGTGAGAGACCCGGGTTCAATATCCCATTGTGCAAGACACTAGTTGCTCCAGAGGCGTGCGACCTCTGACATGTATAGCAATTGTAAGTCGCTTTGCATAAAAGCGTCAGCTAAATGAATGAATGAAATGATACCAGAGAATATCTGACATTGAGTTAAGTTGGATTTGCAATATTTGGTCAGTTATGGAATCACTTTTTTGAGAGAGAGGCACGTACATGCTGCATCAATCTTTCACAGTTTTTCTGTGATTATAGTGCAGTACGGTCGTATAAGAGACCTGCTATCATTGCCACTTATACAAAGAGAGCTTTGTGCTACCTGTTGCGACTTTGTTCCCAGATACGTATCACATGGTATCTGTTGTGCTGCTTAGACACTATTTGATAAAGGTCCTCTCCTCCTGATTTCAAAACAGTTTATGACCCGAGGCTGGGGCTGTATCAATATTATTCTGGAAACATGATCGGAGTTCTTTCTCTGTTCTATTCATCACTTACTTATTTTCTTCTTTTGATACCTCTTCTCCCATCTCAAGACATTTTGTTTTTTTCTCTCTCTTCTGGTTGTTTACATTGCTCATATGAGTGAAAAGTAGGCATGAGTGCTTCAGAAGTGTTCTTCAGGCTCCAGGCCTCGGTGGCAACAGCTGTTGCTAACATTGCTGTTTAATCAGTCTCCATTTTCCAGCCATTTAAATCAGCACATCCACCTTGCAGAAAGGGCTTATTTTTGTAATCAAAGTGGTACGCTGTTCTTCTCAGTCCGTAAACAAGCTTCCACTAACTTTTGCTCAATTTGTCCCTCCGCAGACATGTCTGCTCTGATCTCTTTAAGGAAGAGAGCCCAGGGGGAGAAGCCACTGGCTGGGGCGAAGATAGTAGGCTGCACCCATATCACTGCTCAGACAGCGGTACGTCCTCTCTTCCTATTCTCTGCAGGTCACTGTTTGTTCTGTGCTTCTATCCCCTACCCGCACTACCTGTTCATGTATTTGTATATTACAATCGTTCCCCCCTTAGGTCCTGATTGAGACGCTGGTAGCCCTCGGGGCCCAATGTCGCTGGACTGCCTGCAACATCTACTCCACTCAGAATGAGGTGGCTGCTGCTCTTGCTGAAATAGGTACGATCCCATCCTCTCTAAGGCCAGAGTTACATATGAAACTTTCTTGCAACTCATTTGCACTTAAATCTCAATTAATGAACACAACACCATTATCAAGTATTATTAAGTTTTGTCATGGTTTGTGGATTAACATATATTTCAGATAATTAAAGAACTTGGCACTGGATGTTATCTTACAATATCTTCAATAGTAATAACTTTATCTTTGGGTTTTCTGTTATAATGGTCTATACATTAACTGTAAAGGGTGTCTACAGTGAATTAGAAAGTGTTGCTGCATCCATTTTAAAGTTTTAAGTTAAAGTAAAGTTGCATGGACCCTAATGCAACCAGTCTGTGCATGTGCTTTCACTGTGTAGTTAGGGCTAGACAATAATTATTGCGATATAATTTTTTTAAAATAACAATATAAAAAATGTTCAGTAAATATTCAAGAAATGTTTGATTTTATTCACTTGAATCAAACACGAATTAGGACTTCATTTTTTTATTAAGATTTTTATTTTGTTGAGGAAAAATTACTGGAAAAAGCTTTTACTTAATTTAACTATATTTGTTGACAAAGATTTTATAATAATTGTTTTGAATGTTCTACCTCAGATTTGGGAAGAGTTTAAACCACAATTAACCATCAGGTTTCTTCAACTTTCGCTCATGAGCATAAATCAGTCTTTAAACTCACATATCGTGATGATTATCGATATCGAAAGATGTGAAACTTTTTACCGTGATAAAATTTTTGGCCATATTTTCCAGCCCTATGTGTAGTGCTGCTCTAAAGGACAGCTGCATCAGCTGGCCTTTTCTCCTCCGCTGCCTGTCTTTGCCATTAAGTGTGTGTTTTGTTTCCTGAAGGGGTTCCTGTGTTTGCATGGAAGGGTGAGTCAGAGGATGACTTCTGGTGGTGCATCGATCGCTGTGTCAACACGGATGGCTGGCAGGCCAATATGGTATCAACCACAACAATCCCATGATAAATTTAACACAAGCCTTAGTCTATTCTCCTGTATCTGTTATATCCCTGGGGACATGCTGTGCTGCCATAAATTGTTGAGGGTTATCATTCATGCCGTTAACTCTGCTGTGTTATATCTTAGATCTTGGACGATGGCGGAGACTTAACCCACTGGGTGTACAAGAAGTATCCCAGCGTCTTCAAGAAGGTCCGGGGCATCGTGGAGGAGAGTGTCACTGGAGTGCACAGGTGAGACACAGTTTCAGTATGATGTGTTTGGGGGTTTAAAAGGAAGTGGGAATTAAAGGAAAATGTTTTTGTGTAGTTATGGCCACTGTTTGGGAAACAGGGACTCTATATGAGTAAAATGTGGATGATGGCTAAAGCTGTGACTGTTGGCAATAATGGCCAAAAATATAAGAACAAGACCCTGGTCGAAAAAAACCATTTCTCTTTTAGTGAGCAAGAAATTACAACATTAACTTGTCTGTGGTCCAGCTCATGACAGCCCATAATGGACTTTGAACAACATCTGTGGCAGAGTAATTAGTGTTTGATCAAACCATGGGAGTTATTTTATGGTAATTTTGTTCCTTGGGATAGTAAAATCTTGCCCACTGCCTCATTAACATTGAAATAAGCTAACATGAAGTAATGGGACTAGAAAAAATAATCTAAACATATAATGTAAAAATTAGAGGAACTATTCTCCCTTGCAAACAGGTGGGTCAAATTAGGTTTCATGCCATTTAGCAGCATTTATCAGCTGTCAGATAGTTTGACCATGTGACCGCTGTTCCTCTTCTGTCAATGTCAGTTTGTGTTTTGCATGTGTTTTCATACATTTTTAATCTTTCTCTCACCATATACAATAATTTAGCAGCTTTTTTAACTGACGCACTTCACTTTGGGCAATATGATTTGGACTCTTCGGAGTTTTGATTACCAGACTGCTTTTATAGCTAAGTAAGTAAGATATTCAAGCTGCTAAGACCTACTGCTATAGTATTGTTTTTAACTAAGATTAAGTTGCTTCTAAAAACCCTTTCCTGCGAGAGGGTTTACATTATTTTGTCCTCTAGATGGAGCTGAACTGGAGGCAAACCACACTTGATACATGCTGTGTCAGCACAAACAGTATCAAAGTTATACAAGTCATAATAGTAGCAACACACACTGACACTGCTGATTGAAAAGGTCACTGGCCTGATTTAACTGGAGCCTATTTGAGAAACACGAGCTCAAACGCGGGGTCACAGCAGCTGTGCATGTACAGCTCTCAATGGAATCAATTAGCCAGATGCTCCGGAAAGTATAAGGTCACACGGGATTGCTGCTCAGTTTGTTTGTGGATATGTGCATGTGTGTTGTGTGGGGGCGTATCTCCCTGAACATGTTTCCCTATGTGTCCTCTCAGATTGTACCAGTTGTCTAAGGCTGGCAAGCTGTGCGTCCCTGCCATGAATGTGAACGACTCAGTCACCAAGCAGAAATTTGACAACCTTTACTGCTGCCGTGAATCTATCCTGGATGGGTGAGGAGAATTAATCATCCAGAAAGCTAGCTTTTGTTTTGCAAACACGCCACTCTGGCTTTTTGTTTCATAGTGTGAAGAGTTTCTGGATTGGGAGTCGTGCTGGTGGATCAAAGTGTGTGTCCTTTTTTGCTTCTCTCTGTCAGCTTGAAGAGGACCACTGATATAATGTTTGGAGGCAAACAAGTTGTCGTGTGTGGTTATGGAGAGGTGAATCATTCTTTGATTTAAAAAATATATAAATCTCTCTTTTGATGGAATGACTGAGTTTCAACAGGTGCAGCAGATCTGTTTTATAGATATTTCTTTTAACAACTATTGCATTGTCCTGTGGAGCGTAGGTGGGAAAAGGCTGCTGCACTGCTCTAAAGGCCCTCGGAGCCATTGTGTGCATCACAGAGATTGACCCCATCTGTGCCCTGCAGGCATGGTGAGTCACTAACCATTACCAACAGAAAATGTGCTCCCCTAGTTGTGCTTTTAGTTGTGCATCAGATTAGCTGTGATTCTAAAAAGACGGTTTATTATCACCATTTATTTGAAGTTGTTTTCACTGTGTTTGTGCTGTTTAATGAAAACAAATGCGTGTATCCACACAGCATGGACGGCTTTCGAGTGGTCAAGCTGAGTGAGGTCATCCGGCAGATGGACGTGGTGATAACTTGCACTGGTACTGCGCCTCATGCAGTGACATCCATTACTTCTGCTTTGATAATCACAGCGTTTCCTGAAAACAAATGTGCACTTCATTTAAATATCCCAGTATATGTCTCTGGGTCATTAACAGACTTTTCATCTGAATGCTAAAATGCATTTTGGGTTTGCATCTGAATCATGACAGTAATCACAATCTGAATATACATGGTTGTAAATGCATTCTTGTGACAGAAGCAGAGGTTTTTATTTGATTTTCACCCTCTGCAATCATGACTTACCCTTCCTCTTACTTTATTTTTTATAGGCAACAAGAATGTTGTTACCAGAGAACAGCTCGACCGAATGAAGAATGGCTGCATCGTCTGCAATATGGGACATTCCAATACTGAGATTGATGTGGTAATGTGTCTTTATATTTGTATTTAAATATTTGTGTGTGGGAATTTCTATTTACATTCCTAACTTTGAGAACACAGAGACAACAGTTTCAGGCCAGCATGAGCTCAGTGCAGGTCCAAGAACATTAAAACATATTGCACAACTTTTCTCCAGTACACCATGTTTTATTCACTTCAGCAACTGTTTTTTTTTGTTTGTTTTTTAAACCTTCTTTAGTGTTGTCTGAGACTTAAAAAAACTATTTACAAAATACTATATTTACACCTTTGGATGCAAAAAATGTATTTCTGTATTCTTTCAACCTAATTGTTCAAACAAATTTTTCAAAGTATCTATCTTCTGTCTCTTCATGTTTAGTCAAGTCAGTCTGTGGTTGATCTTAACACATCCAACTCTGTACGTTTCAGATTGTTCTAAAAAAAAAAACTCTTCATGTCTAATTCCTCATTTAACCCTCTCAGGCTTAAAGTGCCCAATTTAGAAATCCAGAATGCCTCCCTTTTAAGAAGCAACTTCTCTGCTGGATGAATGTCTTTCTAATTTTTACTTTTATTTTTTACATCTTGTACTTGCATTATCTATTATTTGTTTGATTGGGTTGATGTACTTTTCTACATGCACATGTTAGCAAACTATCTGTGTTGTCGGAAATTCTCTCACCTTAATTCTTTCACCTGTATTCCATTTCTGTTGTCATGCAGTTGTACGACTGACCTGTTTTTCATGTCCTCAGGCGAGTCTGCGCAGCCCTGAGCTGACATGGGAGAGGGTGCGCTCTCAGGTTGACCACATCATCTGGCCAGATGGGAAGAGGGTTGTTCTGCTTGCAGAGGTAAATTCCCTCTAAACTGTGTCTCTTATGTGTTTTAGCACACTTAATTGCTTATAACACCGCACATAAACCCACACAAAACTCCGACTATTTCTTACGTTTACTCTGGACTAAGAAGCATTTCTGTTATATAGTGTGGTGTTAGAATTGTAAGATGATTAACTGTGGGTCATCTAGCATGGAGGGTAAAATCCTGATAATCCCCTCGGTCTATTTAATCTAGGGTAACGTTCAAGCATAAAAAGGCCTGCAGGTGTCTCACTCTAAGTCAGCCAACAGCTACAGTGTGCTCTGTGGTTCATACAGCAGCTGAATACTTTGATGTTATCGCTTATTGTGTCTGTATAGAATCAAGTTCTACTGTTCAGTTCATACCTGTGCTCTGTTATTTCTCAGGGCCGCCTCTTAAATCTGAGCTGCTCCACGGTGCCTACGTTTGTGTTGTCCATCACTGCTACAACTCAGGTTAGTAGTTTGGCCCAGTCTGTGCAGTCCTTCACTGGCACTGGCACTTAAGGGCCAACGTCTGGTGCAGCAGAAGGACACATGTCCCTCTCACTACACCACCCTGTTTTTGTAGTAAAATATAGTTTCCTGGTATATTAGTCTTACAACCATTGTGTGTTCTGTGTTGTCATTAGGCCCTGGCCCTGATTGAGTTGTTCAATGCACCAGAGGGGCGGTACAAACAGGACGTGTATCTCCTGCCAAAGAAGATGGGTAAGAAAGTGCAGACTCAGTTTACAAATCTTTAAAAAAACTGCATAACAATGATTAGTTTAAAAGGCATGTTGCAGCCAGTTTCTAATGCCTACTTTATTTGTGTTGCTCAGTGGTGCCACCTTGTGATTTGACCTAAAGATTACACCGTCCAGTGAACCAAAACATAATATAGGCTAGAACAAACATCTCCCTCCACACAGCGTAGATTGCCATCCGTGTCTTTCCTTCCAGATGAGTATGTGGCCAGTTTGCACCTACCAAACTTTGATGCCCACCTGACAGAGCTCTCTGACGAGCAGGCCAAGTACATGGGCCTCAACAAGAATGGCCCCTTCAAACCTAATTATTACAGGTAGCCGTCCCCTCCCCTGTGTATATCTGCCAATATCTTTGATTGTCTAGCATTTCCTGTATTTTTTTTTACCAAGATGTTAAATATACTGTATTAAATATACGAATTAACACTGTATTTTTTTCACAGGTATTAATTAGAGTGATCCTCTGATGGTGTGATCCTCAGCACACAGTTACGCTGGGAAACAACAGAGATATCTATTTTATTTTATCTAAATTGCTACAAAATGGAGGAATTATTTTACTTATGCTGAATGTAACTTATTAATAGCACTTCAGACATGGTGTTAAATATGAAAAATAAAACATGTAGGAAACATAAGAGTAAGACTTGTAGGAAACATATGATGTATAACTAACATTTTACATGTCTTGTCACGTGTTTAAAAGCAAAGGCCTGCTTGCATGCTTTCATGTGTACGTACTTATTTAGTTGCTAATGCTTATGTTACTTGATCACAAAGTTGTTGATTTGTTTGTTTACCCTATTTACGCACAGTGCCAAATGATGGCTGATAAGAATGGAGAAATATTTATGTTTTGTCTGTCATTAAGATTTTATTAGTACATTCTATGAGCCGGGGTTCGGGCTGAGCCAAAATGAACTCTGTATTACAATGTACATTATTTTAGAAATGTTATATAATCTCATTGAATGGTATCTGCATACAAGCCCTAAAAAGTAACATCCAGTCATCCTTTCTATTACAATAAAGTACAGTGATGAAATATCGCACTTGTTATATAAATATGACTGTTGTTTATTTTAAGAATTTATAATAGTCTGAGAAAGGCTGGCTGCATTTTAAGTCCCTGACCAAAGGGATGTTTAATGTGTTAACAACAGATTAAGATGTTATGTTAAAGATAACAGGCTGTATGCATTCCTAAAAAGGAAGTACTGAAAAGGTTGAGGAGAAGGAGCCAGTAGAACAACTGCTGTGACTTCCTTCATTTAATACCAAGTTTCCATTTGCTCACTCAAATTCCAGCTGAGATCTGTCTGACTGAAGAGAAGCGGTCAGCTGTTTAGTGTTTTGACTGGATAATACCTTTAAGGCCATAGTAAGAATGTGCCTTTGAAATAATTTATAACACGTAAATATAAGCACTGACCTTAATTAAATGAACATTCCTCTTTTGTAAAACCACATCTATTAGTGGTACATTTAATGTCTTCCTTCCACTGCTTCTGGTGTTAATTGTAACTCTAATGTATGAGCTATCTGTTGAGAAAAGATATTAGACTTTTTGTTTGCCATATGATTGTCATTGTCTTAATTTGATCCTACAGGGTCACCCAAAGTAATATTCCATGTTATCAAAATGCACAAGTGTATACTATGTATGTAAAAGAATGCATAAAATCAGCAATAAAGCGAGTTCTTTTACCAGAGAAACGTAACTTTAAACAAGTTGTCGTGTTTTATACCAAGGAGAACAAAACCACACAACGAAAGAGAGAGGCCTCTGTAGGTCAGTGTTTGTACATGTTTGTCATTATTTTGTGGATAAAGCTTGCATTCATGGCTGCTAACACTTCCACATACCTCCCTTAATGTGCCTTACTGCTACATTCACTACATTGTGTTCCCTTGCTGTCAGCCCTGCTGGCTGAGCGTCAAACTGCTGTCCTGCTCTGGAATATTCACCGGCTCTCGCGCACCAGGCCAGCTGCATTAGTTGCTAATATTAACAGTTGAGTCACTGAGCTTGGAAGAGGGGTGAGGTGGGGGGCCTGGGAGTGTTCTGGAAACCTGGTTGTAACTATATAAGCAATGGGCCCGAGTCAGTCCAAGCATTATTTTAAGAAGAACCACACACAGGCGAAAGCTGACAGAAAGGACACTACTCAGGGAGACTCCTGAGATCCTTCAACATCTTTGAGCAACAGAGAGATTATCACTGAAAGTAAGTAGCAATTTGATTATAAGATTAGATAGATTATATGAGGTGACAGACTTCTTAGTGTTGTGACATATCTGTAATGGTGTTAGGTGCATCCTTGGGGCATTATTTTAATCAACTTCCCACTTTCCTAAAAGATGACAATAAAACTTACCCACTACTAATGAATCAGTTCTGCTGTATATTATGGCTTCATTAGTGGTGGCGTGGTTAAAATCAATTCAAGCTTGTGGTTTTGGACAATTTCTAGGAAGAAACATTTCTAATTTATGGAATACATAAATCAGTGGGATATGGTTAACCACTCACAGTCAATATTTGTTAGATTTTTATTTTTGTAGTGGAATAATTACATTAAACTTTTGTCAAATTGTTAAATAGCATTCTCAGCCGTGGATAATTAATACACTGTCTGATATTTAGATGGACAAAAATTATGGCACTACAACGTCACAGTGCTCAGTGCTTTCATGTGCAGCATTAGAAAATTAAAACATGACGTTTCTCTATTTTTTCTAGGACCTCCAAATCAACAAGCAAGATGTCCTCAGCTAAGGCAATATCTATTGGCATTGATCTGGGCACCACCTATTCTTGTGTCGGGGTTTTCCAGCATGGCAAAGTGGAGATAATTGCCAACGACCAGGGCAACAGGACCACACCCAGCTATGTGGCCTTTACCGACACAGAGAGGCTCATAGGAGATGCTGCCAAGAACCAGGTTGCCATGAACCCCACCAACACAATCTTTGACGCTAAACGGCTCATCGGGAGAAAGTTTAACGACCCCGTTGTCCAGTCCGACATGAATCTCTGGCCTTTCAAGGTGATCAGTGATAACGGAAAGCCCAAAGTCCAGGTGGAGTATAAAGGGGAGACTAAGGCCTTCTACCCAGAGGAAATCTCCTCCATGGTCCTGGTTAAAATGAAGGAGATTGCTGAGGCCTACCTGGGACAGAGGGTGTCAAACGCAGTCATCACAGTTCCAGCTTATTTCAACGACTCTCAGAGGCAAGCCACCAAGGATGCCGGTGTGATCTCTGGACTAAATGTTCTGAGGATCATCAATGAGCCCACAGCAGCAGCCATAGCCTACGGCCTGGATAAAGGTAAAAGAGGAGAGCGCAATGTGCTCATCTTTGATCTCGGTGGAGGAACCTTTGATGTGTCCATCCTCACCATTGAGGACGGCATCTTTGAGGTGAAATCCACTGCAGGAGACACCCACCTTGGCGGGGAGGACTTTGACAACCGAATGGTCAAACACTTTGTAGAGGAATTTAAAAGAAAACACAAGAAGGACATCAGCCAAAATAAGAGAGCAGTTAGGAGACTGCGCACAGCTTGTGAGAGAGCCAAGAGGACCCTGTCCTCCAGCACCCAGGCTAGCATCGAGATTGACTCTCTTTTTGAAGGCATCGACTTCTACACCTCCATCACAAGGGCACGCTTTGAGGAGCTCAACTCAGAGCTCTTCAGAGGAACACTGGAGCCAGTTGAGAAGGCCCTGCAAGATGCCAAGTTGGATAAGTCCAAGATCCATGAAATCGTCCTGGTTGGTGGCTCCACAAGAATTCCCAAAATCCAGAAGCTCTTGCAGGACTTTTTTAATGGCAGAGATCTGAACAAGAGCATCAACCCAGATGAAGCTGTGGCCTATGGTGCTGCAGTCCAGGCTGCAATCCTCATGGGTGACACTTCAGAGAACGTCCAAGATCTGCTGCTGCTGGACGTGGCTCCCCTGTCTCTGGGCATTGAGACTGCAGGCGGAGTTATGACACCTCTAATCAAACGAAACACCACCATCCCCACCAAGCAGACCCAGATCTTCTCCACATATTCGGATAACCAACCAGGTGTGCTGATTCAGGTGTATGAAGGGGAGAGAGCCATGACCAAAGACAACAACCTCCTGGGAAAGTTTGAGCTCACTGGTATCCCTCCTGCTCCCCGAGGTGTACCACAGGTGGAGGTAACTTTCGACATCGATGCCAATGGCATTCTCAATGTGTCCGCCGTCGACAAGAGCACCGGCAAGGAAAACAAAATCACCATCACCAATGACAAGGGCCGCCTTAGCAGAGAGGAGATAGAGCGGATGGTACAGGAATCTGAAAAGTACAAGGCAGAGGATGACATGCAGAGGGAAAAGATTGCAGCGAAGAACTCACTTGAGTCATACGCCTACCACATGAAGAGCAGTGTCGAGGATGAGCATATGAAAGGAAAGATTAGCGAGGAGGATAAAAAGATGGTCATTGACAAGTGCAACCAGACAATCTCCTGGCTGGAGAACAACCAGATGGCAGAGAAAGACGAGTATGAGCATCAGCAAAACGAACTAGAGAAGGTGTGCAAGCCGATTGTGACAAAGTTGTACCAGGGCGGTGCACCATCGGGAAGCTGCGGCAGCCAAGCAGGAGGCAGCTCTAATGGCCCCACTATCGAGGAAGTGGACTAAAACCATGGACGGCAGCATTTTGTTTACATAAATACTGTTGTTTGGTCCTAAAATATGTGATTTCACTGTTTTTTTTTCTTGACATAATGACAAATAAAAATACTTAAAACAAAATGCAACTCTCCTTTATTTGTTCTTGTAATGCACAATTTACAGATGATTTTTAATAAGTGATGTTCATTCCAAAAATCGATGCATCTTTCACAGCATATGGTGACCTACTGTAATGCTTACTCCAATTTGAAACTTTATCTTTATCTGTAATTTCAAATAGGGGCTAGCCTTTGAGGCTTTACTAATTAGACTACAATTTTATTGATCTTCAAGTCTCACAAGGAGATCTGGTAATAATCAAACTCACTCTGCAGACTGGTTTCAGCTCCTGGTTCCAATCATAAATTCTGAGTTGGGAAAGTTTTATTCCAGCCTCGAGAAACATATTTTGATGCTTGATACTCTTGTGACTCTGTGCCGAAAATTCACTTCAGGAAATATTAAATGTTTTTAGTAAAGATGCCTGACTGGTACTGACTGGTACTTTTGAAACTTTTACCCTTGTTTTTCATGAATTTGGTGAATTTCTGTGAGTGTGATCTCTCTTTTTCTTGTTTTGTAATATGTTTTATAATTTAAAATGTTTAAATGTGTTTATTACTAAAACACAATATTTTGTGTAGTCATTTAAAACTCACTTTGCTTTTGGAAGCCCTGCTGACGTTTTTCCTTTTTTTCTCCTGTGGTACCTGTGCAAAGGATTTAAAGAGTATTTCCACCACCTTTTCACTCAGCTACATATATTTGACAGCTTAGTTTGCAAACGAAATGCTCTGCACACCCACTCAGGTGTTGTTTTTTTATTACTCTCTGATCTGAGACCTAGGTGAGGTGTAAGCTGGGTGGAACTATGAATTACATGATGTCACCAAGCTAAGAATGAGCCCCGACAGATACCACAAAACCACGAAGGGTGAGATAAATGTCAAATTATGTTATGACCCCCAGCAAGACTCCTTACCAAAGAGGTCTAACATAATCAAAAAAAAAAAGGTCCAGGAGTTGCAAACAAAACAATAAGTTTATTAAGAGCAGTTTGTAGATACCCACACAGTCCTGAGAAAGTTTTTTTTTTAATTAGACATGAAAGTGAAAACTCCTGTGTGGGTGTACAAATTTTGTGCAGGGGCTTAAGGTTTTACATAGCATTAGAGGACAATGAGATATCACAGAGAAGGTCCACTCTGCCTAATGACTTATTTTAGTCTTGTTTATACTTTTGTTACTTTTAAGTATTTTTTTCTGATAATAATACATTGTTTAATAGAAGAAGAGTCTACTTCACTGATTTAGCATTGCCCTCCTAAAACAAAATCGATGCAGCAGAGCCAGAGGTATGGTCTTTTTTTATTCCACGCATTCTTTTTCCATGTCAGAAATGGGTGCCTACATTACCCACAGTGCAACTCGGCCACCGACAGTTCTGCCAGAGAATTCTGGTGTGTTACTAGTAGTGGCTAATGTGACCTCGACCTGCCAACCTTAAACAGAGATGAGGAGCAGGCTACAGGTCTGGTGAGCCCTCTTGGATAGCCTACTACAACTTTATATGTAGCAGTACCTCCCAAGACCTGTAAACACAGCCACCTTCTATAAAATAAGTCCCCATAATATTTTCTACACAGAACTTTAACTTGTAACAGATTATTTTTACTTTTTGATAGTCTGTTGCTACTTCTGCTTAAGTAAAGCGATTGAACACTTCCTCCACCACTGATAATCACTAAATAATCATTATTGCTGAGTGGCTGATTGAGAAGTCTCGCAAAACATGTTGATCACTGAATAATCCACTAGGTGGCGATTTTAGATTGTGTCAGCAACACATGAGTCTCGTAAACACACTAAAAGCTACTTGTTGGATCACACTTAGTAGATTCCTAGGAATCTCAATAATCTTGGGCTACCCCTGGAAATTAGGCCTCCTTAGTCCAAAATCACATCTGGATATGTCAGTAAACATATTGATTCCACTGATGAAACATAAAT